CTCTGTTAATTCAAATTGTACTGCACATTTTCGTCTACAGTTGAATTGAATCACACAACTAATTGATAAAGACAAGCTATTCATAAAAAGATCAGCTTATTTATCAAAAAAGCAACTAAAAGACTTATAAGCTGTTTCAGTGCCTGTAGGGAACATACAATTTAGAGAATTGAACATTCCAAAACAACCACATAAAGAGCATTTTCAGCTAAGCGTAAAAGTCAAAACTTACTTTTAAGTATCCCCTCGGCCAGGAAAACACCCGAGTAGCACAACAGCTTATTCATGACAGAATCAAGATACAATATAATCAACATATGCAACAAACCTATCTAACTCAGTTCAGTTGGTGCACTAAAAATCTCATCCTCCAAAATTGGTCCAAGAACTTTACTTGATGATAATAGTAATAATATACACGTTCCATTTAGGTGCTAAAAAGAAGTAAACAAAAACAATAAAACCAAGTTCTTCTTGCCTCGTGATTTCTACCCACCTATTGGACAGAGGAAGCATCTGCATAGATAGAATCGATAGGGAATCATCAGGATAAACGCAAAACAAGTAAATAAGGGAAATAAAGGTTGGACAGCGAAAAGGAAACGAGGGATATCTGTGACCAAGAATGACAGAGACACAAAATAGCAATTTATGATCCACAAGCAATTGAAAACAAAGTGGAATCTAAACAATCCAATGTTTGGACATAACTGGTGACAAGACTATTGGAAATCAATGATATAGGTATCGAAAATTCGTGTTGTCAGATATAAGTACCAGATTTATACTTCCTAATCTCTCTTACTTCAATGATTTGATGACATAAAAATAGAATTTATCAGCCTATTAATGTATGCAGGCAGCATTGAGGAAGAAGTGACGTCCCATATCATAAATGTAACGACTAAAAAATTAGTTGTTATTAGTATTGTTATTAGATCTATTCCTTCGAATGGTTCTCTTTAGAAGAGTCCAAAGTTACAAACATCATAAATTCTACAGTGGCCAGCATTAAAAAGGAAAAGGTGGACTTCAAGTCAATCAGTCTAAAGGAATACCAATCTACAAGATAAGAAGTGCTGCGAGATTGACTTGTGGACAACTTTAAAAAAGATATTAAAAATAATAACATGAAAAAATTCAGCATTATAATTGGACAGAAGAATGAACCTCGATACCTATATTTATTGCAAATTCACAAAGGATGGCCACCAAAAAAAGAATCACGGTCGATCCAACAGCAGCCACATCATGGATGACTCAAATTTCATCATTATGCATACTGCATGGGCTGAGAATAACCAAACAACTTTTTAGCCAGAGGAATTAAGCTGATCAAGGCTATCTGAAGCTGTTCGGTGCTGTTTATACGAATACTAACTTGTCCAGACCCCCTGTTATTTATATTGACCCGGCCAATCAAATTTGTATGTCGTCCAATAGGGATCTGAGTCTGTGAATTGCATCCAATAGCAAGATCTCCATGCCAATCCATGACTGAGAACCCCAAAGTTGATAAGAAACGCCCTAAAGGATGATCTTTGTCCCTCAGTGTTGCTTCCAGACTTCCACCATAAGCAACATCCCCACGACCAAAAATGGCTCCTCCAGAAACAACCAACTGACCTCGTTTACCAACAATCAATTTGTCCTCTAATTTCATTCCACCAGTTAAAACATCACCCAAAAGAGTTGCTGAAAGACCAGCAATGGCCTTACTTATTCTGTGATTGCTAAATCTTGTCTCACTTCGAAGAGTATAAGCCATGTCTTTTCCAACTGATTGCATATCAAAACCTACAGAAGTTGCTTTACCATTCCCATGCTTCACTGAACTTGCAATTTCCATTTGAAGGTTTACATCCTTTTTATCTTTTGAAACATGGCCAGAAAAAGATATCGGTACCTTATCTTTAACAACAAATAATCTTTCTACATTTATGCCCTCATAACCAATGTCATGATCCCAACCATTAGGTTCTAAGACAGGTCTCACAAGCCATGGGTTAGAGGAGTCGAGATAACGATATCGATGAGTTGGATTATCAGAATCAAAGGAAGCAGGTAGGGCCAAGTCTTGCATAGGAACTGGTACAGATGCAGAACCATTGGTCTCTTCTTCTGCATTTTCACCTAAGTCAGGAGAAAAATCTTTAGCTGCTGCTTGCATTTTCTTCATCATCTTCCGCCGCTTTTTCTCTTCCTTCAGCTGCTTCTTCATGAAAAGATTTTCCCTATATTCTAGTTCATCATAGTATGCCTTCCTTTGGGCTTTACTAAGCTTTGCCAGCTGTGCTTTAGTCAATGGTTTGAATGGTGGTAATTCATCATATTCTGAATCATCTTCCGAGTCTGAGCACTCATCCAGATGCTCATCTAAAGCATCATCCTCATCGCCAAATTGCTCTGATGGAAGTTTCACTTGGGGTCTTGACTGCAGAAGGGATGAAAGAAGGAAAGGTAAAGGAGGCGATCTTGCTCGAGAGATAAATGGCTTTCCAGGTGAGCTATCTTGCAATTTCAGTAATGTATTTGCTTCAGCCAAAATTTTCGAAGCGAAGGACAGAAGCAACAAATGAGGTTTCCAAACCTGACCATTTGGCAACACTCTCTGTCCAGCTCTGTTTGTTCTGCATGCCAAGTGATTCTCCACCAATGAAACCGGATTCATCAACCGCATATCTCCAGCAGCCTGACGTATTGCTTGCTGGACAACATGAGAACGCTGGGTTACAAACATGTCATAACTTGTTGCAGTGCCATTGGGGCCTTCTGGTGGTGCAGATGCAGCATGAGTCAGAACGACAATTGCATTGAACCATATAGATGGCCCAAAAATTTCTGTGATTGTACGCAGTAATGGCATGTCACCAAAATCTCTGCTTTGCATATCCAATCTATCCAGATATAAAACAATGTCAGGGGTTGTTTTGTTAATAAACTGTTTGACAGATCGGAGGATTTTCTCATTCTGGCGTTGGTCTGACCAGGAGGGCAAAAGCCCAGGGGTGTCAATTACGCGCACCTTGATTCCCTGCACAGTCCCAACAAAATCTTGAACCTTCTTGGTGCCCAACTGAAAAGCATCAGTACCAAACTTAACTTCGTCAAATAAGGAGTTTATGGTCGCACTTTTACCAACCCCTGTTTTTCCAAGAACCATGATTGTGCAGGTGAAATCCAATGGTTCTTGTCCAGCTGCCTCAAGCTGCTCAGCCATTGCACTGGCACGATCAAAGCTAAAGGCAGCAACACGACTACCACTTCTCCCCCGTAGCTGTTCGGCTAACCCTAATCTGTACAAGACCTGAGCCACCACTACGTTATGTGGAGTTTGCCCAAGCCTATGAGCAAGTCGTAGAAATTTGACCCGGATCATTTGGAGCTTTTCACGGGTCTCATCATACTCCTCGGTCTCCCCACTTGTCGGATCTTCAACATGTTGGTCCTGCACTCGAGAAACAGCTCCATTCACTCGCGGTTGCTGTACCACCCGAGAAGTAGGTTCCAATAGCGGGGCAGCACGACCAAGGCCAGCAGGACGAGCAGGAGTTGCAGAGTTAACATTGGATGGAGGAATATCAGCTGCAGGCCTGATTACCTGTTCTCTGTTTCCTAGTATATTTTGAGCAGGTTCTAACTGCGGGGATGCATGCTCACAGTTAGCAGGTTGAGCAGGGGATGCAGTGTTAGCATTAGATGAAGAAATATCGGCTACATGTTCGATTATCTCTTCTCTATTGCTCAATACATTCTGAGAAACAGGTTCATCTATCTGAGAAGCACACTTAAGGACTACAGTATGAGCAGCGGAGGCAGAAGTGGAAGAGTTGCTAGAGGAGGATGAAGTATCAGTAACTGGTCTCACTTCATGTTCTGTATTCCCAGAAGCAACCTGCTCCTCTTTCTCGTCCTTCTGTCCTTCCTTCTCTGGCTCCTTGACAACAACTTTGGAGACTTCATCACTTGCATAGACAAGCTGAGGTTGAGAAGCCCCAGAATTTTCAGCTACCAATTCAGATGAGCCAAAATGGGGCTGCTCAACACTTTCAACCACGGAATCTTCTACCGAAGGTAAACTCTCAACCTTCAGGTTCGTTGTGCTTTCCTCAACTTCAGCAAGTAAATTATTATCGAGACCAGTACATTCGTTCAGTTGAACAGCCACAGAAGCATCTGAGGCTGGTATACCCACATGCTCTTCCACATCAATATCCTGATCGTCAGCTTCCTCACTGTGTGACTCTAGTTTTTCTGCTTCTGTATTCTCATCATCATTGAGTTGGGCTCCAGAAATAAGCGATTTTACAACTTGCTCTCTGAAATTAACCACAACAGTCGGTTCATTATGATGCAAAACACTCCCATTGGACTCAGACTCTAGCCAAGGTTCAGTTGCAACTCCCTTTATCACACTACCATCTTGGGTTTCTGACGAACTCTTATGAGTATGTTCTTTCAGTGCATCAGATTCTGAAAGGATTGGGTCTTCATGAATCAAAGTTTCAGCCAAATTCATATGTTCTGACACGCCATTCACAGGCTTCTCTGAAGCAGTATCACCTCCTTTCACCTCATTGGCATCTCTAATCTCTGAAATCTCGTGAATCTGGGTTTCCTTCATATCAGGCTTCTCAGAGCCCACATTAATCCCTTTTAACTCACTGGCATCTTGAGTTTCTGACACCTCAGTAATATGGTTTTCCTTTATGTCTGTATCCTGGATCTTCATCTCTGCAGGATCTGATGCACCTGTTTCAGGATTCTCAGGGGACTTGCCTAACTTTTCATTGAACTCATTCGTGTCATTTAGATTTCCAGTTTTGCCATCAGCAACAGGAATGGTGTGACCTTCACCATTCTCAACAGCACTGTCATCCATCAACCTATTCCTTTCATCCGTCACAAGTTTCTCTGCAGCAATTTGATTCTCGTCAGAAGATTCGTTCATAAAAAATTCAGCCTTTGCACCAGAATCCTCAACTGTATTCTGCATTGCACCAGAAACCCCAATTGCCTCTTCAAACTTCTCAACCTCATTGTCGAGATCTAAATTCTCATTACTATTCTCTGAAGTCGCAATTGTCTCAAAATTTTCATCTTTATTCCCATCCCTATTCTCTGGATATACCCTCGGAGTCTCTGCCACAGCCTCCTCAAATACTTCATCCCCATCCGAGTCCTTTGATCCATCCAAACCTGAATCAGCATTTTCCTCTGCTCTTGACTCCATAACCTCATTGTTTAAACCATTTTTGTCCCCTAACTTAGACCCATCCTCAATGGCTATACAGTTTTCCATCACAAAGCAATCTTAAACACCAAAAATTCACTGAAATGTAAAAATAATAAATAAATGGTAAATAAATACAAACACCAAAATACCTCAAGAACAGATATTAATAACACAAAAAAATGAGTCCTAGCAATCATATGATATTGCAGTTTTGTGCAAACTCACCAACAAGATTCACTAAATAACCGAATCGAACAACTCAAAAGCCTAATAACCAAAATATCAATACCATTAAAAAAAAAAAAAACCTCCTTAATAAAAATAAACCCAGAGAAACACATACATTATTGACTTCGAACGCATTAAACAAAACGATAATAATTTCGCAAACTAATCATTTATCTGAAACTTAACCTGTACAAATAGATTCATACGAGCATAAAAATCAAATCTTTAGCGTATATAAATTAGGGTTTTGCATAAATTAATTAAGAGCCAGAGAAACTAATTAAAAAAATCAATTCCAAGGGAAAAAAAAAAAGTAAAAATTACCAGACAATTCGCTTGATATATAGAGAGAAACAGAGGTTCAGGGTTTTAGGGTGACAGAGGATCGGAAGTTGCTCTTTATTTCAGTAGAAAGGGGATCGTCTTTGTAAACAGTTAAACCTGAACTATATAATTGGTGAAATTGAGGATAAGAGTTAATCGACGATCGAGAGAAGTTTGAAGTTTTGGGATCTAACAAATTACGTATGAGGTTATTATTGAAAAATTTCAACCTAATAGTGGAGAAAAGGATTGGGTGTTTCGTGGAACACGTGGTGCCAACTGGATTGTGAGTGATTTGGCTTATTGTGCACCGTTGATAAACCAGAATATAAAAAACGTAAATTCAAGTATAAGAAAATTAAATTAATTAATGATCATAGACAAACATAAATAAATATTAATAGTAGCTTTAATTTCAAAAGCAAATCGAGCTAGTTCAATTGCCAATTATATCCTGCTAGCAAGTGTACAATTAATCTTCTAGGGAATTGGTGTAACGTGCTTAAAATGAGGTAGGACGGGCAGTTTGATAACATGCAAACCCTCCTTCAAATAAGGACCATATTTTCAATTTGAACCATGCTATATATCTATCATAGATGATTTTAAATCTAACATTTTTTTTTGTGACGGCAATTTACACAATTGATTTTAAACACATTCAAAGTAAAGTTAGATTTACATTTTTGACATCCCTTCTAAGTGGAAGAAATTTGATCAGTAACGTGATGAATGTATTTAAAATCAATGGTGCAAATTGCTGCTGCTGCATAGAAGAATGTCAAACTTAATGTTATCAATGATGTAAATGCAGAAGAGCAAGGCTCGGCAAGCCTGGCTCGTGGCTTGCCAGTACAATGACCAAAACAGTATGGTCACTTTTTTAACTTCTATGACCATTGACAGCGATTGTCGAACTTTTTTTTATTGTTTTTTTCCCCCTTTTTTCTTTTTCTTTTTTTTTTACTCTATAAATACCATCCTCATTTAACTATTTTTTTCATACCACAACAACAATCTCTTACTTCCTTCATACTCTTATCGTACATCTACATTCTACCTTCATTATTCTTCTACATATTACAATTTTCAATCAATTATTTACATACTATACAAATTACAATACATTTTCTACATTACAATTTACATTCCTCCAATTATCAAATTTCTACATATTCATTCATCATTTCATCTTCATCCAAATTCTTATATTAGAAATTCATCACAAATGGATCTACAATCATTTGTTGAGGGCTTGTTCGGTATTGGTGGCGAATCATCTATAACGCTACAAAATCAAGTTCACAATGAATTTGTCGGTCTCGACGACATACACATTTCTGAAAATATTCCAAATTTGGATAGTAATCAAATTGATTTGGAGACAATGATATTACCGAAATAGAACAGGTGGAACTAGATATTTTCGATACAAGAGGGAAGCAAAATGTAAAAATGGGTAGAATATTGGGATCACTTTAAATTGATTTCAACATGTCACACAGCCTACGGAGTCGTAGAGTGTAAAGCAGTATGTAAATACTATCATACACAATTAGTATGGCAAAAGGGCATCAGTACCACTCACCTCAACATTCACCACAATAAATGTGCGGCCAAACATGGGTTTATTGGTGGATCTCAAACGCAACTGCAATTTGGTAGTCCATCATTGGTCGCCAATTCTGTTACTCGACACTTGGCACGTGGATGTTTTTTGAGGACACGGCTCGAACGAGAATGTTTAAGTTTGTTGCCAGTGTTGAATTGCCTCTAACAATAGCGGACAATAAACATTTCATCTCATACGCGAAAAAAATATCTTTAATCGAGTACATTGGGTAAGTAAAAATATTATTTGTTCCAATACAATAGTATATTTCGTTAATGGAAAAAAAAAAGTTGATAATTGATTTGCCAAAATATAGTGATATTATATCTTTAATTTCGAATTTATAGGAAATGATTAATAAATGAGATTATAGAGTTGCAACTGTACACTACATAGACCTACTTTGGTGTATGCATAAAAAATTATTGCATTTAAAATAATTTAGTTTTCTCACAACGATAACAATATAGTTAACGCTATTATGCACATTATCAGATAATATCATTGCGAGAGTAAAATTCGTTCTTTTACATTTGACAATGGTAACGTTAATAAGCCAGTTGTTGATAAGTTGTGTATGGTGCTGCAGCCTGACTTTGGTGGTGATTTATTTCATGTTCGTTGTGTGTCATATTTTTAATTTAATTGTGCAAAATAGTTTGAACATATTAAGAATGAAATTCAAAAAATTAGAGATGTACTAATCTATATCATGGTTTCACCTATTTGAAAAATAAGTATTTGATGAATTTTGTGCTGATTTTTGAGTGACGAATTTGAAAACATTTTTTAATGACGTAGGATAATGGAATTCGTGCGAAGAATATACACATTTAATAACTAAATTTATAATAATGTGCATATTAGAAACGATGATGAAACTATTTTAAATGAATCTGATTGGGGTTTAGTTTTTAAAATAAAAAAAAAAATTCATAACAAGTTTTTATGACTACAAATATTTTATTTGGAGTGTTTTATTCCACTAGCTGTATGGTGCTTGAACATTTTTATATTTTTGCAAGGGTTTTTAATAAATACAAAAATGATATTTTCTATAGAATTAAAGTTTAAAAATATTGGGAAGACTTGCCAATGTTATTTTTTTGGCATGCGTCATGAACCCTCGATTCAATTTATCACGTACTAAATATGTAATTGATCAAATTTCAAAAGTTTTAACTTTTGACATACCTATCACTTGTAGAAATTTAGAACAAATTTTATCTGAAATCGATGAATTATATGCACAACGAATAGATGCAAATATTAGTCAAGCACTCTTTTGAGTCTTTTCTCTCGTTAATCTTGAAAAAGACGATGCTGAAGTACTAAATTTATTTGAAGGCACGAACAATTATAGATATAATACAGTAGGTTCTTTTAGTATGTCTATCACATGTAATCAGACTCAGACATAAGTCTAAATCCATTGCATGTTGAATTACTTGATTACTTTAATCATCAAATGTCTTATAATGCAGCAATCAAGAAAAAGTTCAGAAGAATATAATTGACTTCTGCAAAAGTACGAATGACGATGGGCAGTCGTATCTGCAATTGCAAAAGATTTACTAACACCTTTGATTAGCATTGTAACTTCAGAATTTGTTTTTAGTGCATGTAGGAGAGTTCTGTTCGAGATCATGAGCGTTTTAAAGAAGATGTTTTGGAACCATTAATGTTTATGAACTATTGTCAAAACGCTCATTTCCGAATACAAGATAAGTATGCCAAAATTGTGTGTCGTCGGGTAAATGATATTTATTTTAACTATATTAATAATATTTGTTATTTTATAATACTATTTTAATTTTTTTTTAAAAAAATTGTACATGAAACAAGTTGTTCATGAACAATTTTTAACCCCACATACTCGAAATTTAAGTAGTCGGTTTCAAACCCAGATAAAGGAAGAGCATTTTATCTTTAAAAAAATTTAAAAAATCGATGGCTCGTTGCCCAAGCGGCTCGGTCCATGAGCTCGATAGGGCCAGTCGGCTCAACTCGACTCATTGCCATTTCTAACTTCTTGTACATCAATTGTTGGTATCAAATTTGACATTCCCTCGTGTAGGAAATTTGACCGTTGATTAAAAAAGTGTTGTTCAAATCAATGTATAAAAATATATCAATTCATATATCAAACTTGATGTATATATAGCATGATTGAATTAAGAATATGAGTTCGAGTCTGTTAAGAAATATATTTTTATTTTATTTTATTGTTTATTAATGGTAAAATAGTCTTTTCAATTTCATTTATTTAGCCTATATATAGGGCCTGTTTGGTACAACTTTTCATTTTCTACAGTAAATCAATTCTCATTTTCAACCACACATTCTTCAATAAAATAATATTTTCCATCACATCAATACTTTTTTTTCTTTTTCAACCACACATTTCCCATCATATCACTATTCAAAAATCAATTCTTCCCCNTCCTTTATTTAGCCTATATATAATCTCTTTGTTTCTAAATTAAATCATTTTTTAGTATTCAATTGCATAATGCAGAATCAATAAAACCCTAGCCTCTTTTTCTTTTTCTCTTTGGATTGTTTAACATAGTATCAGAGCTGTTACGATCTTAAACACATTAATCTTGAATTTCGTTCCCTGCGAACAGTCTTGAGCGGCTCGTCCGACTAGCAATTTTGTTTTGTTTTTTTATTTTTTATTTTTTTTCGGATCTGAATTCCTGATTTTGTTTCACTTTTATCTCCGCCTTCCGTATGTTCATAGATCGTTGCTTGGACTCCTCTCAATGCTCAGGGTTTGCAAATTTTCTGGGTTAAAATCGTGAAAACCATTCAAATCTGCAAATGGGTGGATGTTTAAAGTAAGTGAATGGGCTCATTTTTCATCCTATGAAGTTGGTTTGAGATCTAGATTAGGTGTTTCGCATATTCTGGTTTTTATAATCTTGAATTTCGTTCCCGGCGAACAGTCTTGAGCGGCTCGTCCGACTAGCAATTTTGTTTTTTTTTTATTTTTTATTTTTTTCGGATCTGAATTCCTGATTTTGTTTCACTTTTATCTCCGCCTTCCGTATGTTCATAGATCGTTGCTTGGACTCCTCTCAATGCTCAGGGCTTGCAAATTTTCTGGGTTAAAATCGTGAAAACCATTCAAATCTGCAAATGGGTGGATGTTTAAAGTAAGTGAATGGGCTCATTTTTCATCCTATGAAGTTGGTTTGAGATCTAGATCAGGTGTTTCGCATATTCTGGTTTTTGAGCGGAGAACAAAGAGATTAGTGGAGGAAATAATTGATGCTAAGATTATTTTGTCAATAAGAGCCATTTATCAATCTAAATTAGGACTTGGCCTCATGGATAAAGGGGCAAAGGAACTCTTGCAGAGCATCTCTGAAAAGCAGGGTAGGAAAATGGATACAGTCGAATATGCTAAAGACATACCAAATGTTGTTGATATGTGTAAGGGATCCACTTATTAATTGTTGTCCCGTCTTTGGTGAAATTCTTAAAGTTTCGGATAGGTTGAATACCGTGATACATTTGACCCTTTGTTTTGATGAGGCAACTGGAAACCAGGTTATAACAGGAGGATTCTTGACCGATAAGCAGGCTGCAGAATGTTATAATAATATGGTAATGCACCAAAATTGATCCCAGAAAGTTTTGAGTTGATGGGTTAATGGGCTGGGTATTTATTTGTTGCGTTGGTTTAACTTGTGATGAGATTAATTGGGCTTGGGTTGTAGTATTAGTTGAGATTGAAAGGTTAATGGGCTTGCAATGGGTAATGGTCTTATTGGTGACATTGTAATTTGGCAGAAGGTTGAGTTTGAATATTTAGTTTATTGGGCTGTTATATTTAGTGTAAGCTGATTTTGGAGTGGACTGCTTTTGAGTGGTAATTTGTTTGGGTTGCAATCTAGTTTCTTTTGTGGGTTGATTGAGTTTGGGCAATTAAGATAATATGTTGGTTGTGTTTATTAGGCTGTTGGAGTAAATGGAGCCAATTATTTAATTGGTTTGATTTTATTGTGGATTGATAGCTTGTGTGGGCTGAAAATTTTGATTTGGGCCATGTGTTTTGTTGGTTATTCGGTGTTTTGTATTTAGGCCGCGAGAGTTGTTGTTGGTGACTTTTGTTCAGAGTTGGGTCTTTTCTTCTCTTAAACTTGTTTGGGGTTTTTCTTTAAACTTTTGGTTATAGTAGGTAATTTGGAATTTGGTTTAGTATATGCACAGTTCATGGGATTGAAATTTTGGTTTGGTATATGCCCGGTTCACGGGATTGGAATTTGGTTTGGTACATGTCCAGTTTATCTGGAATTTGGTTTGGAACATGTTCAGTTCATTTGGAATTTGATTTGGTGTTGGTTTGGTGTATCCGAAATTTGAAATTTGCATCCAGTTCATTTGGTATTTGTGGAGCTAGAATTTGAAATTTGCATCGGTTTGGTTAGAATGGTGGATGATGATTTTTCATTATCATCAACTTTGAGTTCTTTGTTCGGTTTGGTTGACATACGAACAATTTTGAAGATTTGATTTCTGTAGACTGACACTATTTCCCTACATTTTGTCTCTTCATCATTGCAGCTTGCTAACTTCTTCACGAAGTCACATCCGGTTCATCGTTTCGTTTCTTACTTGGGAAACTCTCGATACTTCTTGCAGCAGCATCATGAGTTTGAGGGGAGATATTAAGAAATATATGATTATTTTATTTTATTGTTTATTAATGGTAAAATAGTCTTTTCAATTTCTTTTATTTAGCCTATATATAGCCTCTTTGTTTCTAAATTAAAACATTCTTTAGTATTCAATTGCATTATGTAAAATTAATAAAATTCTAGCCTCATTTTTCCTTTTCTGTATTTCTTTGAATTGTTTAACAGAGTCGACACTGAGTCCAAATTCAACTATAGGTGTGTTTGAATCACATTATTTTGGAAGAATGTATTTTGGAATAGTAGATTGATGGAGAATATGTTGTTGAAAAACAAGTAAAAGTTATTGATGTGATGGAAAATATTATTTTATTGAAAAATGTGTGATTGAAAATGAGTAAAAGAACGAAAATGAAAATTTTAACGTAGCTCCAGGGGTGGGCCTGGGGGGTGGCCTGGGGAGGCAGGTGCCCCCCCACCNTCTTCACGAAATCACATCCGGTTCATCGTTTTCGTTTCTTACATGGCAAACTCTCGATACTTCTTGCAGCAGTATCATGAGTTTGAGGGGAGATGTTAAGAAACATAGGGTTATTTTATTTTATTGTTTATTAATGGTAAAATAGTCTTTTCAATTTCTTTTATTTAGCCTATATATAGCCTCTTTGTTTCTAAATTAAAACATTCTTTAGTATTCAATTGCATTATGTAAAATTAATAAAATTCTAGCCTCATTTTTCCTTTTCTGTATTTCTTTGAATTGTTTAACAGAGTCGACACTGAGTCCAAATTCAACTATAGGTGTGTTTGAATCACATTATTTTGGAAGAATGTATTTTGGAATAGTAGATTGATGGAGAATATGTTGTTGAAAAACAAGTAAAAGTTATTGATGTGATGGAAAATATTATTTTATTGAAAAATGTGTGATTGAAAATGAGTAAAAGAACGAAAATGAAAATTTTAACGTAGCTCCAGGGGTGGGCCTGGGGGGTGGCCTGGGGAGGCAGGTGCCCCCCCACCCCAAAAAAAATTTGTTTTTTGAATTTTTTTTTTTAAATATGAAAGGAAAAGGAATCAACATTCATTTCAAACCAATGTTTTCTCTCGCCTGAGTCTCCTCTTCTCATTTTCTCTCCTCTTCTTAATGGTAAAATTAAGGTTGTATATTGTTAAATGGATACGAGAATGGTTGTGATAATACTGAATGACTGAACAATAATAGTTCAAAACTTCAAATCTCATTTATCATTATTTAAATGATTTATAGTTACTCTCAAATAGTGGAAATTGCATTGCCAAATGAAAATAGTGAAAAATCTGTCTCCACTCTATAGCCATTTCAAGTTCAATTGCGACAAAGAATTCTAAAATCTGACCCAAGGAAAAAGCTAGTAGGCAAGACTTTCGTGAGCTATAGTGCTGAAATCAGTACTAAACGAAGTAATTAATGTAAAATGATTGTATATTTGGATTAGATCAATGAATAGGAATAGAAGAATTCTTAGTTGAATTTAGTTACGTTCTTGTAATGCATGAGATTCACGAGTGAAATTCTCAGTTGAAGTGACATTTTTAAGGAAATTTCGAGAACCTTTTAGCCTAAGAGAATCTAGTCCGACTGAATGTAATCAGAAGAAAGAGTTATGCAATATGATTGAACTTGAATGAGCAAGGATTGTTTCTCAGGTATTTGATGCATCGAAAATAAGTCTGGTTTTTACCATTTCCTAGTCCCTTGTTGATTTACTTGTTGCATCTGTTAAATAAGTTTCAAAATTTAAAAAATGTACATATAAATCTGTGACTTGGATTCTATCAAAGTTTGTATAGTTCTTGATGACCAAGATTATATACTCAATTTCTTTGTTAATTTGAATTACAAAATTATATTAAATTTTTCTCTATTTCCCACTTTAATTATGGAACGTTATCAAAATATACGTAGAGAACGATTGTAATAAAATAACTCTTACTTTAATTTTTTCGTCACTTTTTGAAAGTTTGATTGTGTCCCCCAACATAAAAAGTCTGCGTCCGCCCCTGCGTAGCTCAATCAGTCGCCACTTTAGTTTGGGCCTTTGGGGGGCTGACCCAGGCCTATTGACTGGACTATTCCGGCGTGGCAATTCGTGATTATCTCAGGTAAATCATAGGATGGTCCCCATTCTGGTCCACCCCTACTAGCCGTCGACGGACAACCGCGCACAGCCGAGCATCTCAGGCGGCGATGCTATGTTGCACTTCTTACAATGCCCTCACTCTCTCCTCCGCCTCCAATCCTCGCATCTTCATTCAGAAAAATCCACAAAACCAAATCATCCAGCAAAAGCCTTAAGTATCCTTGCGTGATTCAAAATTTTCTTGATTTAGCATCCCAAGGACAAATTAAGGAAGCCATTGATTCTTTGCCTCTCTTAGCTCGCAAAGGCTTTCGTTTAAACTCGAAAAGCATTGCCTTTCTTTTGAAGCAGTGTGCAAATTTCAAATCCATTAAAGAAGGCAAATGGTTACACCTTCATTTGAAATTAACGGGTTCAAAGCAACCTAGTACTTTCTTATCCAACCACATGATCAATATGTATGCCCAATGTGGTGATCATGTTAAAGCCCGTCAGATGTTTGATAAAATGAGTACAAGAAATTTGTATTCTTGGAACAATATGCTTTGTGGCTACGCAAAGTTGGGGATGGTGAAGCCTGCATTGAGGTTGTTTTATAAAATGCCTGAAAGAGATGTTGTGAGTTGGAATACGATGGTGATGGCATACGTGCAGAGCGGGTGGTTTGATGATGCTTTGAGGTTTTATAAAATGTTGAGGAGGTTGGATATTGGGTTTAATGAGTATAGTTTTGCTGGGGTTGTGACGGTTTCTGTTAAGTTGAGGGAGTTGTGGCTTGCCTCGCAGTTGCATTGTGAAGTTTTGATTGTTGGATTCTTGTCGAATGTGGTTCTTTCAAGTTCTATTGTCGATGCATATGCAAAATGTGGCCAGTTGGGGGATGCTAGGAAGTTGTTTGATGAGATGGTGAAGAGGGACGTTCTTGCTTGGACCACTTTGGTTTCAGGTTACACTCAATGCAGGGATATGAAATCAGCTCGGGAAATTTTTGACGTGATGCCAGAAAAGAATCCCATTTCTTGGACTGCTTTGATTTCAGGGTATGCCCAAAATGGGATGGGACATGAAGCCCTCAAGTTATTAACAAAGATGATTATGCTTGGTGTTGAACCTGATCAATTTACTTTCAGCAGTTGTCTGTTTAGTTGTGCTAGCTTAATTTCACTTGAGCATGGTAGACAAATTCATTCTCATTTGACAACGAGAGGTATTAGACCTAATATAGTAGTTTTGAGCGCCCTTATCGACATGTACTCAAAATGTGGAAGTCTAGAAGTAGGAAAGAGAGTTTTTGATACTGTGAAAAACAAGCAGAATGTTGTGTTGTGGAACACGATGATAACTTCATTAGCACAACATGGATGTGGTGAACAAGCGATAAAGATGTTTACTGACATGGTGAAACTGGGCGTGAAACCAGACAGGGTCACCTTTCTTGTCCTCCTCAATGCATGTAGTCATTCCGGCCTAGTGCAAGAGGGACTTAGTTTTTTCGACTCCATGGCATCTTGTTATGATACTATTCCCGATCGAGAGCATTACGCATGCTTAATTGATCTATTGGGTCGAGCAGGAATGTTTGATGAGGTGATGAATCAACTCAAGAAAATGCCATGTCAACCTGATGATCGTATTTGGAATGCATTGCTGGGTGTCTGTAGGATTCATGGTAACATAGAGTTGGGTAAAATTGCAGCTAAGCATCTTATTGAATGCGAGCCTCAATCCTCTGCAGCCTATCTATTGCTTTCAAGTATATATGCTGCACTTGGGAGGTGGGAATCCGCGGAGGAAGTGAGAAAGCTAATGAATGAGAGGCACGTGGATAAGGACCAAGCCGTTAGTTGGTTAGAGATTGAGCAGAAATTGCAATTAGATTATCGACCAATTAGGTTACATCCTTCGAAAAATGAATCATACTCTGTCTTGGAACTGTTAGCTGACCAAAACTTGTTAACACCGGAAGGTAAACCTTTTTCAAATTCTGTTAGCTAGGTAAGTGTGAATGTGACAGAGAAAACCCCTCATAGCTTGTATTGATTTGTCTTTGGTTATCCTAGAGAACCATTTTGTATTTGGTTAAATAAACCTTTTCAGACTGTATTACACAGGAAAAACTTTTTGAATACAGTTCTTCTGAAATTTGCGATATGAGTAGGTGAAACTGTGAAATTGGTCTTGATTTCGTTCTAAATTAAATTTACTCTTCTAGAATTTTTTGATAGAAAGTCAACAATTATATTATTACAATCAATTTGTTTTAGAACTTCTTTTTCAATAGATATCATGGCCAATCCATTCAAACTTTCTTGTGACATTGTTGATCGAAGATAAGATTTTATTAACTTCAACTTCGAGAAGCTCCTCTAGGCAGATACAACTGTAGCTGATATAGTCAATAATATTCTATAAGCAATCCACACATTTGGAAAACAATCCATCATTTTTATGTAGTCCAACACTTCAATTGCCTTTTTAGTCTCTTCTGGCAAACTATTTATCACAATTTGTAGCTTAGCAAATAACTTCGATCCATCAATGTCAGAATCCATGTCTTGTTTTAAAAATTCTTCAAGCTTATCACACCAACACTTCAAACAACTATTATCTGCATTCTGCAATTTTTTTAAATCAAACAAAAACCCAAAAAAATTGTCATATTTTTGAAATTGTTCAAATCTTAATTTAAGCGAAGAAAGAGCTTGATCAACTATATATAAGAAATAATCAACTATAAATGATTCTTCAATTGAATGTGTTATCTCATCATTAACATTTTCATCAAAGTACTTCTTTCTATGAATAATACGCTTTTCTTGAAATATAGGTTCAACTTCCATTTGATCAGCAATTTCTTTAGCAGCAATTTTGTCAGATTCAAATCCAGTTTCTCTGTATGTTTCAAAAAATGAAATAAGCGATTTCATGTGACTAATAGCAGCATCAATTGACATGTCTTCACTTTATAACATTTTGCTTACTCTATTAATAGCAGACAGTATATTGTACCAAATAACCATGTCAAACAAGAATTCAAAATCCATAATATCATAAAATAAGCTTTGAACATCTCTATATGCATTAGGATCATCACATGTTTTCACCAAGTGTTTTAAAGCGGTTTTTATTTCTAGTGCTTGAAATCGTATTGCTTTAACGCTTTCGACTTGACTTTTCCAACGTGTTTGTGATAGCGGCTTAAGTGTCAAACCTTTCACATTGTCTTGAAAAAAATTTCATCGCTTCGTAGAAGAAAGGCTATGACAACCACATGGTGTATAAAATGCCCTTGGATTTATTTCTAATACTCTTTTCTGTAAACTTTTATGCTTCCCTTTGATATTAGACCCATTATCATAACCCTGACCTCTTAAATCACCAATATTAAGTTCAAGTGTTTTCAAAATATCTAATAATTCACCAAACAGTCCTTGCCCCGAAGTATCATCTACCTTAAGGAATCCCAAAAAATACTCTTGTACTTTTACTGGAGTTGCTATGACATCTACATATAGTATTATGAGAGACATTTGTTCTTCATGACTTATATCTGGTGTACAATCGAGTATAATTGAAAAATATTTTGCTTCTCTAACATTTTTAATGATTGCACTTTTGATTTCTCCAGCTAACATGAGTATGAATTCATTTTGAATTTTGTGACTAAGGTAATGATAATGAATTTCTTTTTCTTGAATACGATGGATGTGTTCCCTCAAAATTGGATCGAACTCTGCAATCATTTCAATTGAACCTAGAAAATTCCCATTATATTTTTCATAAATTTTCTCGTTAGTCCCCTGAAATGCTAGATTATTCTTACATGGAAAGCTAACAACAGAAACTATCCTCACAAAAACTTCTCTCCAATGTTCTCTATCTTTGTTGATTAGATCTTGCACAACTTTATCAATTGTTAAATTCTGTTGTAATCTCCTTTCCAATTCAATCCATCTTCTCATGTTATGCATGTGTCCATTACTAGTTTCATGACTTTAAGCCTAAAACTAAGATTTTTCTAGTCATTGATTCATTCATTAGCTAATTGAATATTGTTTCCTTCTTGCTTAAACAACTTACAACAAAAGCAAAATACTTTATCCGATGAAATTGAGTAGACCAACCATTTTCTATCACTCTTCTCACCATTTGCTAAATGTCGAATATAATATGTAAGAGAAATGTCTATATTCTGAATCTTTTGGAAAAGTAAAATCATCCTCTCTAAGGGGACCTCTTTTCACTAACAAGTCTATCAAGTTTTGATCAATAGTTTTCCAATTTCATGGATCACTAATGTCGAAATGCAAAGGTACACATTTTTCAATTTCTTCCAGATTTTCTTGCTCATGATCTACTAAAATTTCATACTCTTTATTCATATTATCTTCACTTTGAACCTTTTCATTTTCAAATTCTTTATCAACCAAATCTTTCATCGGACTTTCTCTTTTATTATTAATATTACTACCAAGAAACTTGTCCATAGCTCCCACTTGAGATTGAATAAATTCTTCATTTTTTTTTTCCTTTTTCTTTTTTCATGTCCAGACAAATACTTTCTAGTAGACATATTAAAACAATACAAAAAATAAATAAATACAATATTAAACTTTAAATTAGTTGAGGAACAATAAAACCTGGCAGTTCGTGCAATGTCACAAAAATGCCCACTTGATCACTCTTAGCCAAATGTTGTGTCCACTCTCGTGATAAATAAATCTCTAGACACTTTTTACTAAGTAAATTTGGAAAGTGTTCGTGTTGGAACCACTAAAATTGTCTACAAACCCATAAAAAGTTCTGGCATCGACGCCTCTTCTGATCAAGGAACTCTACCAATTCTTTCTTTCACTTGAAAATGGTACTGGTCTTGCAAAGCTTTTGATTTGTACGTTAAGACTGAAGAGACCCTTTTTTGCTAAATTGTATCTTTGAAAGTTTAATTCAAAGAGAGATAATTTATTTTATGTTGGGTTTAAAAAAATAATGGTAGGTGACTGTTGGTGTGGAATTTGAAAAGACAAAAAAGACTTTTTATTTGGTTAAGAAAAAGAAAAGGGATGTTTGGAAGATAAATGGTCAAATTAGTTATAGAAATAGAAAGTTATGGTTGTGATATATTTATATGATAAATAAATGTAAGTATAAATTATGTAATTTATATATATATATTTTAAAAGATTTTTGTATTTTTAATTTTTATTAATTTCTTGTGTTTGCATATGACAATTCTATTTTAAATAATTTCACTAATATAATTTTCGTTTCTCTTCAACCAACCAATTAATCTTATAAAATTCGGGGCCCTCATCAAAGCTTGCTTTGGCGGTCGCCTACCCCGCCTATAATCAGGGCCGCCACTGTGTAAATGTGGATGATTATTAGCGTTGACCAATATGAAACAAAATAAAGATTCATGGCTGATGAGCAACTTTTTTAAGTTGAATAAGCAAAGAGTTTTTACCCATCTCCATTAAACATCTACTCATGCTTTAAATTTTACCATCATTGGATCCTTAGGATATGATTCCTCAAACAATGATATCTTTTCTTAAATGACTTAATGGAATGAAATCTTGGTTTTTTTTAATGTCTATACTCGAATTAAGGGTCCGTTTGGGAGCCATTCTTCTTCAAATAATACATTTTATCTTTCACATCAAGTGGGGTCCATGAAGAATGTGTGGTTGAAAAAGAAGGAAAAGTTATTGATGTAATGAAAAATATTATTTTATTGAAGAATGTGTAGTTAAAAATGAGTACAAGAATGAGAATGAAAATTTTAATGGTTACCAAACGGAGGCTAAGTGTGGGTTCTATTTAACACATTTGTACGTTGTTTATGTGCTCAATCATGGTATTAAACTACATTAAAATTCATATCAAATACAAGGACAAGATAGTTGCTGATAAGTGTAGTTTTTATACTTATTTGAGACTCTAAATTATGATATTTTATTGTCTTTTAAATAATATTCTACTTAATTTATGTTAAATTGTATTTTGTAAATAAAACTTCATGTTTAATGAAGAATTAAAGGAAAAAATGCGAAATGAGGAAAAATAGAAAAATTCATAGTACGAAGACTTGAAAGCAAGCATTAAATTAATTGAGCCTCAATTTGGACTTTTAATTAGATACAAAATTTGGCGACTTGAGATTAAATATAAAGATAGAGAGAACGTTGGGTTGAAATTTAGAAAAGTGGCCAGTTTAAATCTACAAGAAAGGAGGAGCCGGCAGTTGGAGGAAAAAGAAAAATGGAGGGCTGAAAATATATTGGAGAAGAAAGCGGCTGCAAGTTGGCCATAAAACATATACACACATAGGAAAAGAGAGAGAATTAAGAAAAATAAAAGAAAGAGGAGGAGAAAAAGTCAACTATAGCGGCTGGAATTGGAAAAAAACAGAATCTGAATTGATTATTATATATTTACCATCAGGCGCCCCTCCAATAGTGGGGCGCCACTTGGCAATTTTGTAATCCATTTTGTACAAGGTTTTGTACATCTAAATAAATCCATGTGTAAATATATAATAATCAATTCAGATTCTGTTTTTTTCCAATTCCAGCCGCTATAGTTGAGCGCCCCTCCAATAGTGGGGCGCCACTTGGCGATTTGTAATCCATTTTGTACTTGTAGCATCCTCCTTTACACATTCACGCGTGGCCGGCAGTTTTGCCAAATTTTGATGACGTCGTGTTTAAATTCAAAGTTATGAGTGGTTAAATACTTTTATTGTTAGAATTAATGATGTAATTTAAGGTTTTTATTATATGTTTAATTTCAAGATTTTCATGCCATTTTGATATTTGTTAATTAATTATTGTGTGTTTAATGCTATTAATTGTTTGCGCAATAATTAATTGATTTACGGATAATATTGAGATAGAGAGGTAATGTATAATTCTAGCTCGTACAATAATTAACATAGACATTATAAGAGACCGAGAGATAATTATAGGCTATGCAATCCATGTTAAATTCCTATAAAATAAATGTATTCATATGTGTGTGAATTTAGATAGAGATAT